GGGTGAACCAGCAGATAGAAGATCTCTCTCTGTCCCTCTGCCTTTCAAATAAATAAATCTTTTAAAAAGTTAAAACTGGTGGAGGCTTGCTCTAACGATGTCTCTGGGAGGTGGGCCCAGCAGGAAGCCTTTGGGTCCCTGGAGGTCCTCAGAAAGCTTTCTTGCCTGAAAGCCAGGTGCTGTCCACCCCCTACTTCCTGGCCCGCCATGTGATCGTCATTCACACGTGTGCTCTCACCACAGGTGTGACTAACGGGGCTGCACGACATTGGACTGGGAGCCTTGAAGCTATGTGCCAAAAGGACCCTTGCTCCATCCTGAGACATTGCTCTCAGGTGCCTCAGTCAGGGAGGGAAGCTGACCACTATCAGGGGCCTCAGGAAAGACTGAGGGGCTGCCTTGCTGTGAAGTTCCTGGGGTTCTCTGCAGGATGAGTGGGCGGTGGTGACCAGGGACAGGGAGAGAGCTGCTTTCTTTGGGGGCTCACCTGGGCTGAGGTTGATGTCACCTGGGCCACCCTCTGAACCCCGCCATGCATTCTCTACTTTTCCGTCCCCGACACACTCTGCCTTTGCTGGCGAGACTCACGGCACCATGTCAGAACCATGTGGTATCAGCATGATAACAACTTGCAATTTGCTGGGAGACCTTCCAGGCCTGATGGAGCGCTCGGTCAGGGACTCCTATGGGGAGGTTGCACCCACAGCCTGCATTGTGTCCCTCTAGCAATGAGAGAAACAGCAACTTAAGGCAGTGACTTTGCCTCTTTTGTAGACTGTAAGCTCTTAGTAAGGAAAGAAGAAATATCGTTATGTTGAGGTTGCTAGGGTCTACAGTACAATAAGGAATTTTAAGAGACCACATTCATTTAGCTTTCATAACACGATAATAATTGCTGTATTTTATGTTTAGCTGTTAATCTCTTATCCTGCTGAATTCATACATTTTTATCATAACTGGCATGTATAGGAGCAAGCACAGTCTGTCTGGGGTCTGGTGCCATGTGTGACAAGACAACCTGGAGTCTTGCACTACACCTCTCATGGGTAAGGAGCATGATTGTGCCATGTGAATGCCACTGTGGGTCCTGAGAGGGATTTCACAGAAACATCAGACATAGTCCTTGGCTGCTAAGAGCACCTCTTGTTAGTGTTCAAGTTAGAGTAGAACTGTTAAGATGTAGTACAAATCATGTAACATTTCAGGGCTGATTATTGGTGTCCTGAGTTGATAGTGGAGATGGGGCTGGCACGTGGCCTTGAGACAGGTGAACTGCATGAGGTTGATGTGGAAAGGGCCCTGCCAAGGACTGAGTAGGATCTGGCTCTGAACCTGTGCGGACCGTTAAGTCCCAGGGTCATGGGTGTATTGGGAGGGTAGTGGCTTGATCCAGTGATGCTGTCTAAGAGGTAGACCTAGTGGAAGGTCCTTGGGTCCCTGGGGGCATGTTCTTGGAGGTTAGATCCCCAGAGAGCTGCTCTGACTGCTGGCTTGCCATGTGGTTCACCCTTGGCATGTGCTTCATGGTTGCTGCCTCTGGTCTCACCAGAAGCCAAACCACTGGGGCCCAGCTGATGTTGGTCTGTGAACCTCCAAAACAATGAGCCAGAGTAAGCCTCCTTTCTTTGCCAGTGGCTTGTCTTAGCATTCTGACACACAGCTGGCTAATACAGGCCCCATGCTTGGTTTGTTGCTCTGTAGTCACTGTCTTAAAATTGTTAACGGTTTTGAAAAGGGGCTTCTGCATCTTTGTTTTTATTTGCATAGGCCTTGCAAGTTATGCAGCTGGTCCTAACCCAAGGTCTGTGGTGACCAGGAGAAGCTCCTGGTGGAGGGGGCCAGGGAGGATTTGGACATGTAGAGAAGTTGGGTTGGATTGAAATTATCTGAGGGTTCTGACATCCTGGGGTCCAGCCCGGTGCAGCATTGTGCACCTGCTCAGGAAATGCTTGTGGGAAGTTGAGGAAATGGCACATGATCTTTTGGGAGCCTGTCTGTGAGGATGTGGTGCCTGCACATGGGCCTGGTCTGCTCCATGTGTGGAGAAGCAGGCCTGCCCCTAGCCAGGGCAGCCTGTGAGAGTGTCAGCCACAGGCCCACGCAGAATGGCCGCCTGCCTCTCTGTGCTGCCCTGGAATTACTCTCGTTTCTGGAATGTGGTGGGTGGATACCTCACAGGGCTGCTGGGAAGCCAGAGGGAGAAACTCCGGGAAATGGCTCTGAAACCACATAGAGGGATTGGTCCTGGGGGCCTACCATGGTTCCTGGCATCAGCAGGTCTTCATTTGGCGTCTGGAGATGTGCCGGGGGCTCAGGGCCCACTCTCGGTGGCCTGGCTAGCAGGTTCTGTTGGGGGAAAGGGTCCAGGACCCTAAGGGAGGCAGAGCCCAACATGTGTCGTCCAGGGATATGAGGACATTTACGCCCACGTCTGCACTCCTGCTCCGTCACAGCCTGGAGCTCCATGCCAGCTCTGTCTGCTTGTTCGGGTTCTTCCAACTCATCAGTGCAGTGCGAACAAAGAACAGCCTGGATCTGTGGCTGACCCAGCAGAAAGGACCCTGTGACTGTGAGGAATAATGCAGTCTGTGGCTTAGAGGTTGGAGAAGGGAGGGACCTTCCAGACCAGCAGGGTTAGACGGTTTGCTGGCACAGGGACCATAGGCTGGAAAGAAGGGAGACCAGGCGAGGTGCAGAAGGGTGTGGGATGGGTTTAGAGTGAGTAGAAGTGGTGAAGGGGAGGATAGGTGCTCAGGAAACAGTGGAGCACACAGTGAACATGGAGGTGATGGGGCCTTCCCCCAGCCTCCCCTCCTTGTGATACCTCATTGGTGCTGCCCAGGGACCAGACAGGGTTCATATGCCCAGATGAAGGCGGCCTCTGCTATCCCCTGCCCTGGTGGGTGCTGCTCTGCCTTGTCTCCAGGCTTCCCTGTCCTGCTCACTTTGTTCTGTGCAATGGAGAGAAGGGGAGGGCCCCAGTGTGGGACCAGCCTACCCTCTCCTGCACCCCTCACCAGAAAGGCTGCCAGGCCCAGCCACTGGAGACTGTGAGGCATGTTCAGAGTCTGCTGTGATCCTGGACAACTTCCTTGCCCTCTCTGGTGTTTGATTTCCTCAGGAATACATAGTGTGTAACTGGGAGCTGCTGGGAGGAGAGGGCTTGCAGCAGCACCCTGAGGGGACCTGCTGGGGCAGTGTAGACACAGCCAGCATGGCAGGAAGCTATGTGCAGAGGGGACAGGACCTGGGTGGCTGGCTCTTGGCTCCAACTGTGGCAGACAGGGAGCAGGCATGGCTCCTTGAGCAGTGGGGCAGTGGGCTGTTTCAGGGCCTGGTGACTTAGGACCCAGTGAGACAGATGGCTGCTGGGCAGCTGTGGGAAAGGTGGAGTGGCCTGGTCTTGTGCATACTAAAATAGCTGCCATGTGCCGAGTGCCCACCAGGCCCTGCTGCCCTTGTCCATGGAATCCTTGTCACACTCAGGCCCCAGAAGCTTCATGAGGTGTGTGCAATGTCGAGCTCATCTTGTAGAAGCGGAGGCTCAGCGTCTCCCTCAGGTGGGCACTTCCTGCCCGCTCCCTGAGTGCTACTGGCTCCTGGGGCTCTGAACCCCAGGCCATGTTGACTGGCCACCTCTCTGGGACTCCTCCGCCCAGTCCAGAATGCACCCCCCTGCCTGTTCTGATCAAATTTCTGCTACATGCCTGGGGAGCACTGGCCCCAAAGCCTGGCTTCCTGTTCTACTTCAGGGCGTAACGACAGCCCCACACCTTCCACAGACATAGCAGTGCAGACTGGCATTTGGGAAACATGAGTTTCCTGGCCCAGTATGTTTGTCCCCATTGATTGAGGACATGGTAAATATTTTACAACCATTCTAGCTTTTAATAGGAAAATAGAAGTCAGAAGTCTAGAATTTGGGTACATTTCAAATATATTTTATTATGTTTCTTTTTGTCTTAGAAAGCACATGAAGCCGGCATGCAACACTACTGGTGACTGACATGTATGCAGCACATAGCACAGTGGTACAGCGGAGGACATTCTCACGGGCTGTGGACAAAGACAAGGGCGCGTGGCTGTCTTAGCTTTCAAAAGAGGGCTGTGTGTTCACCCCAGCAGAATTAAGTGGGGAGTCACATGTCTATTGCTTTTGTGTATGTGTCCCTTTTTGGTGGGGGAGAAGTTGTCCCTTGTCGGTAGAACATGTTTTGGTGGCTGTGTGCTGTGCATGTCTTTGTAAATTTTCTCCTAGGGTTTTCACTAAGTGCTGGAAACTTCACATGCTTTCAGAGCATTCAGAGGGAAGACGAGACCTTCTCACAAACCCCCATGTCAGAGAAAAGCCCCCAGCGGCCCTCCCTCCATTGGCCACCGCGTGATCTTGGAGTTGATACCTAGAGTGAGTCGAAGGTGACCAGGGAGGAAGGAAGCTACCAAGCTTGAGTTCCTCAAAGAAAAGGTGCAGAAAGACCTGCCCCTGCATGCCCAGTGACAGGGCCACTGCAGAGTCACACTGAGGCTGTGACCTTGGTTGTAAGCCCAGGAGAGCCCCCAGCAGCTGTGCCGAGGCACCAGGGCCTTGGAGCGGAAGCTTCCAGAGCCAGGGACAGAGCAGGCCTGCAATGAAATGTCCCAACCAAGCCCACTTTTCCTCCTGGGCGCATATAAAGCTCAAAAGCATGGTGACATATGGTCAGATACAAAAACGCCTTTTTTTTTGTTTTGTTTTAAAGGAAAGGCATGATTTCCCCCCTTTTTGCCTGTGATGAAGTCTGGGGCGCAGGAGAGATGGTCTCACATCTGGAAGCCTTTCGCACGCAGCTATAAAATGTAGAAACTGACCCTTGGTAAAAGTGCCTCGTAACAATATATATTTTGTGTCTTATGCCTGTGAGAAAGGAAGGTGTTTGTTTTGAGTTTTGAAAATCTGCAAAGTCCTTTGCTCAAAGTCTCCCAACCAGTCTGGAGTTTTCCTGTCTGAGATTTTTTTTTCCCTATTCTTCGTAGACCCTGTGAAGAGAAAACATGAGTGTAAGTGGCTCAGGTGCACTCCAGGGCTAGTGGGAGGGATGACTACAGCTCACACATGCCTGGCTATGTCCTTCCTATCAGCTTCTACCTCTGCCATCTTACTTAATTCTCAGAACCCTGTGGCACGAACCCAGTCTGCGTAAGAGGAGACTGAGGCCCAAGTCTCAAGAACTGCCAGTGACACCACCATCATGGCCGGAAGGACGTCTCTGTCCAGCTTGGCAGGCTGCTATTGGACCTGCTGCTGCTTCTCACCTGGACTCAGTCTTTGTGTCAAGACAATAGTGAGGGTACAAAGGACCTCTCCCTTGACTTGGGTTTGTAGCTTAGCCTTTTATCCAAAGGATTCAGAACAAGAGAAGAGAAAGTCCAGTTCTAGAGGCTGCTGCCTGAAGCCTAGAGAGGGCCTAGGTCTGGACAGGAGGCGGCTGTGTCTCACACTCACTTCCTCTGGGCTGCACAGCCTCACCTCTGCCAGTCACCAGTTACTGATCACCAGTACTTTCCCTCACCCCCCAAGCCTTTTTTGCATGTACGCAGTTTTGTTCTCTTTGATTCTGTCTCATTGCTGCCCCCAGATCATGCTTCACACTCAGTCTACCTCTCCACTTTCTTGCTTGATTTCTGGGCAAGGCCATGGAAATCAGACACCCAAAGCACCTGCTTCCTATGACAGCAGGAAGCTCTGGCCTCCGAGGTGCTTGGAGCTCCTGTGTCTCTGGTCCCCGAGGACCTGGACCCAATGTGTATCCCCCTCCTCCCTCCTCTCTCCCTCTCTCTCTGCAAAGGTGGCTTAACACAATTCTCCTATCTCCATTCTGCATTCAGGTAGGCAGCCCATGTGGCTAAAGCAGGACCTGCCCTATGCTTTCTCTTTCCCCTTCCAGGCCCTGTGTCATCAAAGTAGAACGAGGCTAACCCCAGAGCCAGCTCAAGGAGGTTTCTGAGATTTCATTTTCCACCTAAATTTTACAGGGGTACTTCCCCTCCTCTGGCCAGGCCACCTCAGCACACTGCCACCTTGACTTTGTCACAAAATGACGGAAGGCCTGGTACTGGGAGGTTCTCACTGCTTTCACCACTGGGATGTGCAGGAAGAAAAGGGAGCCAGGGTCATATCTGGACCTGTGGGTGCCTTCTCTCCTTCAAAACCACGGTCCAGGGGTAGGGGTGAGGGACGTTGTGGGAGTGGGTGCATGTCTCTCCTGAGCCGGATGGAGGTGCTGTTGGCTTCCTTGCTGAGCTGGCCCTGGGGTTAGCAATGTGCTACTTTTGATGACACAGGGCCTGAAGGGGGACAGCATGTGGACAGAGCAGGTCCTGCTTTTGCCACGTGAGCTGACTGCCCTGAGCAGAAAGAAGGCTTCGCTCCCATCAGATTCATAGAAAAGAATCTCTTGCCCTCATCACTTTCTATTTCAAGCAACTGCAGACGAGGCAGTTTTGGAGGCAGCACTGAAGGCTCAGGTACAGGAGCCAGGCCCAGGTGCCAGCTGTGGGAGAGCAGTGGGAGAGCTGTGGAGTAGTGCAGGGCCAGGGGATGGGAAGGCTGGGGCAGGCGTCCACCCTCTCTGCACCTCCCCCGCTGGAGGCCCGGCCCCCTTCCCTGTGCTCCCAGCACGTCAGCCCCTTGTCACTAGCCTTGGCTTCCCTCTCAGTAGTCACCTGCATGGGTGCACGTCCCTGGCTGTGCTATGCAGGGGAAGGTATAAACAGGCTCTGAGTGTTGAGGCTGGGCCTGCACCAGGACAGCTTTGCCTTCTTGCGGCATGTGGTGGGGATTTGAGGGGGTGGGTAGGCAGTGGCCTCTCTCTCCAAGGGCAGGCCTCAGGCCCAGGGCTTTGGAGCTGAGAAGCTGCCTGATGAGCACAGGGTATGGGCCTCTCCCTTGGGGTAAAGGGGGGATCTGATGTTAAGGAGTCAAACCCAAGGTACCTTCTGGCACCTGCGCAGAAAAAAGGAGTGTGTATCAGGGGTCTGGGCGGCAGAGGGCATGAGGCATCTTAGAGTAGAGAATCTGATATTGGCCTGGAGTCACCCTCATCACCTTGTGGCATCCACAGCTCACCCCAGAAGAAGCCCAGAGGCCTGCCCCAGCAGGTGACCACCCAGACAATGAGCAGCTTAGTGACTTGACTAAGAGCAGGGTTAAGGTTATGATAGAAAAGTTAGAATGAGACAGACTTTAGTCCACAAGAGGAAAACCTGGTGGTGCTCTACCAGTCTAAGAGGAGAGTAATAGCTGCTTGTGAAGGGTGAGGCCCTTGACCCTGGGGTATGTAAATAGTGTCTGGGGACCACCTGTGGCTGTTGTGATGGGGGTTCCCTCATTAGACAGGGCTGGAGGACCTGGACAGGAGTGCCGCTTCCCATGCTGAGAGCCGCAGCAGAGCAGGTGGTAGGAGGGCAGAGGTGGGCGAGGGTTTACCTGCGCTTCTCATTCCAGGCATTGTACCACTTGATGAACCGCTTGGTGCTCTGCAGCTTGGGATGCAAGCAGTGCTCCTGCCCCCGGTACCTGGACACACTCTTGGTGGTGATGCTGAAACAGGGCAGGATGGGTAGAGGGTTGAGAGTCTGAATTATAGCCCACGTCCTTCCAAATCAGATTCCCAAGAGACTGTGGCCTCTTCTCAATGGAGCCCATGCCCTGGCTGACTCTTAGAAGGTTGGTGTCCCCTCAATCTCTGACCTACATTGAGATCTGGTCCTGTGAGTCATGCCTTCACCTTTCCCTCTGAGCCCTGGAGGTCTGGGGGAATCTCTATCCACCCCTGTTCCCAGCTGTGGGTTCTCTCCAGGGCTCAGGCCTCTCTTGGGGTACAAAGGTCAGAAGAAGTTCCCAGCTCCTGTGACCTGGACCAAGGTATATCCAGCAAGGTGTGTGGAGCCTTTGGTGGTGATAACACCTGCTCTGTGATGCCATGGCCTGTGTCTGACCTTCACCCCAGCCCCTGACCTCTGCAGACTGTCCCAGGGCCAGGCACCTGCTGAGCCTGAGAAGAGAGCCTTGTTGGCCCTGAAGCTCATTTTGAGTCTTGAGTGCAAGCTCCAGCTGTCTCACCTTGAGGTAGGAGCATGGCCGGCCTGCCCTGTAGCCTGAAGCACTCAGGCCTCCATGCACTGATGTTTCAAGGCCTAGCCAAGTGATAGAGGAGTGCGGTAGCACTTTGCACAGTGCATGGACCTGGGCTTGAATCCTAGGTTTGGCTATGGGGCCTTGGATGATCCCTGAATCTAGTTTGCCCATCTGTAAAATGGGTACAGTAACAGGACCTACCTCACGGGGCATTTGTAATGGCTGAGGAAAAGAATCTGAACTGAGTGGACACACAATGAACAGATGTTGTTAGTAATTAAGGGGGAATGAGGCAGCTAAGGAGAAAGAGGAGCCTTTGTGTGTGTGAGCCCTGGCCCGAAGGGCAGGCGAGCCTGCTGCCCAGAACCACTGTGCTTCTCCCAGCCTCTGGGGGTGGAGGGTGGTATTCAGAAATGAGTGACCCTGAAGGCAAAGTGCAAAGTGAGATGAGTAGATGCCGCTTCCGGGGGGCTCACAGTAGGGCGAGGGGTGGTGCTGGAGTGGCTTGGGGGACCTGGGGCAGGTGAGTGGGTGGGGAGGGAGGGATCTGCCAGTTCCTGCAAGTTACCACAGGTAGAGTGGCAGGGCTCGTGGGCCAGGCTTGGGATGGGGGCAGGGTTTCCTCGTGCTCAGCCCTCGGTGTGGGGGGAAAGCAAGCTGAATTTTGCCAGTAAAGTGGAAGCAGGGCATTTGTGGACAACCTGCGTTCCTCCTTTCTCTGCACTGTGCATTCCTGGGGTGCCCGCCAGTGCCAATGCTGGGAGACTGGGCCCTGACCTCACTGGACCCCAACAGGAAGTGCCTCTCCTTCCTTGGGGCCAGGATCCTGGTGTGATCTGTCAGCCTCCCTTCCCCAGTGTGCCTAGGACCCCTGCAGGAGTGTAGCAAATGTGTTTTTCTCTGTGTATGCAGCACAGCCTATAACTCCCCTTCTCAGGTTGGGTCAGTGTACAGGCTGGGCGTCCTGAATACAAAAGGCCAGGGCCAGCAGGACAGGAGGCTGAGCCCTCCTGCTACAGTGCTCCATACTGCACTGTGAGACCAGGATTATGAAAGTCAGTTGTCGGGGGTAGACGGGATCCATGACCTCCACAGTTATCAGAAGTTCTGGGTCTTGCGGCCATCTCCTTGGCTGCTCTGGCTGCCAGGGTTTTCAGCAAGAGCTCAGTGGACATATGTATGCCACAAGTGATCCTTTATAGAGTCTGTGCTATGCTGGGTGCAAGGACTTCTCACCAAGCAGACCGCTCTGCCCTCTCCCTGAGTGGAGGTTTCTGGGTGTCTCGGGGTAGTTAGAAGACTTGCTTTTAAGTCTTTGTGGCTAGAGATCTGCTTTGGCAGAGTGCAGGTTCCATGTCTTATCTCCAGGCACTTGGGATGGCAGGAGGGGAGAGGTACCTCCAGCCCCTGCAGCACAGGGTGGGGACTCAGGAGAGAGTGACTGGGTTAGTCACGTGAGGTTCCTCTCACAGTGACATCAGGGTGCCTCATGCACTTTCCTGGCTGTTATCTCCTATCACATTAGGGCAAGTCTGGCCAGGAAGAGTAAGCTTGTTGTTGGCCAAGGGTCCTGTCCTGAGATGTCACTGTCCCATTTCCAGCAGGGTCTCAGCAGCTCTCGGTCTTTGGCACGTTTCGCGGTTCTAAGTGGGTATTAAATAGCCTCTGTCATTTTCATTCCCCAGCCTGAAAGTGCTATGGTGCTTGGAGCTCCTCCTTCAGCTCATTTGACCCCTGGCCATCACCACAAGTGGCTGGGGATAGTTTTCCTGGACTTGGTATATGAGGCCAAGGGCAAGGAATTTGGTTTTTCCAAATTCCACTAACTTTAGCCCAACTGTGCAGTCCCAGACAATGGGAGGTACAAGATGTGTCCTGCCTCAGCAGATGCAATGTGGAGGCTCTGGGGCCCACAGACCAGCCCATGGGTGGCGCCTGCCTGCCTGAGAATAAAGTGTGCCTGTTTCAGGGTGGGGAGAGACGAGGAGCAGTGGTCTGTGGCACATATTTGGAAGCTGCTTTGCCAAGGTCTCCCTTCCTA